TAGAACATAATAGATGAGTAAAGTTTGTAGAAAAACTTTAAGTTGTCTCGAAAAAGCCTAGCCAGAACGTTTGAAGAGTTTTAAAAGTTTGTAGTCTGAAAGTTTTCAGTTTGAAGTAGTTTGAAAGTTAAAATTGTTTTAAAGATGAAAGTTTGCATGTTTTCAAGGCAATACAGTCTATCAGAAAAATAGATATAAAACATATTGCTAAGGTACCTGGGCTGGTTGCTAGGCTGTTTCTAGCATGGCTAGCATGTTGCTAGCATGTTTCTGACATTATTAGCAAGTTACTAGCATGTTGCTAGCATGATTAGCATTTTGCTAGCACAATTAGCATGCTGCTAGCATGATTAACAAGTTCCTAGCATGTTCCTAGCATGATTAGCGTGTTACTAGCATGTTATTAGCATAATTGGCAAGTCACTAACATGTTACTAGCATTATTCTAGCATGATTAGCATGTTACTAGCATGATGTTAACATTTTGTTTGCTTGATTAGCAAGTTACTTGCATGATTCTAACATGATTAGCATATTACTAGCATATTGTTAACATGATTAGCATGTTACTAGCATGGTGTTACCATTTTATTAGCATGAGTAGCATGTTACTAGCATGTTGTCAACATGACTAGCATGTTACTAGCATGTTGCTAGAATTAATCTAGCATGATTAACATGTTAAGCATAATGTTAGCATTCTTCTTACATGTTTAAAGTTTCTAGCATGTTTCTAGCATGATTAACAAGTTACTAACATGTTAACATGATTCTAGCATTATTACCATGTTGCTAGCCTAATGTGAGCATGTTTCTAACATGATTAGCAAGTTATTAACAATGTTGCTATCATGGTTAACATGTTACTAGCATGTTGTTAGCAAGATTCTCGCATGATTAGCATGTTGCTAGCAAAATTCTAACATGATTACCAAGTTATAAGCATGATTAGCATTTTAACAGCATGTTGTTAACATGATTCTAGCATTATTAGCAAGTTACTAGCATGTTGCTAGCATTTTTCTAGCACGATTAGCAAGTCCCTAGCATGTTGCTAGCATGATTAGCAAGTTGCTAGCATGCTTCTAGCATGATTAGCAAGTCACTAGCAAGTCACTAGCATGTTTCTAGCATGATTAACAAGTTGCTAGCATGATTAGCAAGTCACTAGCATGTTTGCTAGCTTGTTTCTAGCATTATTAACATGTTGCTAGCATTTTTCTAACATGATTAACAAGTTACTAACATGTTTCTAGCATATTCTTCACTGTTTAAATTAAATGTATATTTCTTCTTATTAAATTTACAAAAGTGATTTTAGTCAAGAGCAGTAAGAGATTTTCTTTTGTTGTTTGATTAACATGAATGACAGACAGCAGGA